TTTATGAGGAAAGTTAGCATCATCACATATACCAAAATCACACTAACGCGATAATTAATTTATGATAGAATGAACTATATACGCACTCCAAATAGTCACTTGTAATTATATTACTTGTATATGGATTCATGTTTACTTTTATAATTGTTACATTGTTCCTATATCTATTATACTTCCTAATTTTTATAAATTTAACTAAGATGAAAGCTGTTTCTTCTTTTTCTAAAATGGGCAATGTTCTTGCATTCTAATAATTATTTAATTTCACATTACAGAACATTTTTTCTTATTGTTTGTATATATATACAGTATTCTGTTTGGTTATCCATAATTTATAGAAAGCGAATCAAATCAGTTTTACAGTCATAGCCTTGGCTTTAATATCCCCTCAATTTTGATTTACAGTATTTAAGTTGGGTAATAAGAAGTTCGACCCTTGTCACTTCAAATCATTGACTACCTATTGTTCCTGCGTTTTCCCTTCAAAGTTAATTCAGTTCATAATATTCCGCTCGCTCCGAATTGTGCTTGACTGTCAAGTCGGTATTGCTATCGATTTTTATGACTTTAGATAAATCTAAGCTGCCATTTTTTTTATTTACACATAAAAAAATATTAAAATCATTTATAGACATAAGCTATATCTTTTCTGTTAATATGTTATATAAATTGATTGAAATTAGAAAATAATAATAAAAATTATTTTTGTTTTATTATTATTATTAATCATAGATATAAAACAGAATATTAACTTTTTTCTACAAAGCTTAAGTCTTATATTTTATGAAGAGTTTCCATTGTGGACTGCCATCTTTAACATGTAATAATTTGATACGTCGCAAAATGTTATGCAATATTATAACAGGATTATAAATTATTTTATACAGATTGATTGCTCTCTGCGGCCAATAATTCAGTAATTTAGAAATCGCGACAATCATACGTACTGTAAGTTGTATATAAAACGATTAAGGTCAATTTTTCCTACGTTTCGTATTTCTGATTATTTAAACATTAACACAAATATAAAATATTTTCATATTATAAAATTCTTGTGTAACATAATATGCAATTTTTAGAGATATAAAAATATTAAGTTACTTATTATTTTATGATAAACATTTGTACATAATTTGAATTTTTTGTTTTATTATCGAATATGGAACCATTATTCCTCTTCCTCTTTTAGTTAGGAAAAAGCTTATTATCATCTAGTTAGCAAAACAGATTATATACGAGTATAATTTATATTCATGGATTTTGAAAAATAATCCAGATGAAAGAGCCTTTCTTACAACCATTCATCTTTTATAGAATATTTTATTTTGATGTTAGGAGAAAGTAACTAATATTAGAAAAGAATCTTTCTAAATATGAAAGTAATATTCAGCTTTTAATGAGAAAAAAACACTATCATAAAAGTTAATGAGTAAATTAATTTTTCATAATGCATTAATATTTTTCACATTTTTGATTTGTAAAATGTATAAAAATAATCTAAGTGTATTTATTTCAACAACAAATCATATGATCATCATAATAATGTTCTAAGAATACAGTTTCCTTGTCTGACTCAATCTTGTTTATTCATTTATATTTTTTTGGCATGATCTTCGTAATGTATAATCTTTATGGTCATGAATTTTTTTCAACTCTTTTTAATGAAATTATTCATTAAAAAGTATGTTTAGTGTTTTAACAAAATATTAAAAATATATAGGCTATAATTCATATACGAAAATAAAGGAATATAATTTTAGAAAGATTAACATTAGATATACTATTTATTAGAGATGGGTTCGACTCTCTAACGAATGATCGAGTCCCACGAATCTTGGAGATGATTCGAATCTTTGCGCTATTTTTTTTTTCATTCGAATCTCTCGAATCAATTTTTCTTTATAAATAAATATAGAATTTTTAGTTAAAGTAGCCTTTTATTTTAAATTAATTTTTCTTATATTGTGACGATCTCGTGATGGTTTTTCTGTATTGTATGATGACACTGATGCCGAACGGCATACCTTTCTCGTTACATATTGGTACAGTACCTGTAAAGGACTTGCCGACCGACATTCGGTGCTGCTAAATTGTTTATACCTTTTTCAGTTAATACTATGCATCTCAAAGCTACAAATAATGTACTTGTACAGTATTAAGGATTCAAGGGATTCGTGGGCTTTTTAAGATCGGATTCGATCCATCAATCCATTCTTATTGTTTACATAGATTCACTTATATAGGGTACTCGTATTTTCTGCTCATAAACAAATTTTAATTGCTTTGTAAAAACTATTAAAATAAAGAGAAAGTGACAATAGAAAAAATATTAAACAATTAACCTATTTAATTTCAATATAATTCGTATATAAAACTAAACATTTTTATTTGATATTTTCATAAATTATTTTCTCATATAAGACATGTATTTCTTCAGAAATTATACAAAATTATATTCCTTTCTATTTTAAGCTATTATCAGGTCCACATTTACTACTTTTTTCGACTAAAATCCTTCTAATAGAGTTATTTTTAACAGTTCCTTCAGTTAATCGCTTTATACAAAGTGCAGAGATACGATTGTTTATTGATTCATATTTATCTATTCGCTCCGACCTTCTGTTTCTCATATCATTCTCTGTCCTCATGACATAAGCGTAGGTCCTGTAAATTGACAGGCCAAGTGGAGCTGTCTGGATACGCTAATCTCTAACTTTAACCATCGATCACTTAAACCAACTACCAAAAACAAAATTCTGGTTCCGGATATCAAAACATTCCATTTTGAATCCATTTACCACGTTACATTTTCCCATTATTAGATTTATCTTTTTCTTTTTTTACTTAGGTCTATCGCGTGTTATAAATACAGTTTCTATAAATGTTCAAGTAGAAACGTTAGATGTGAACGTGCTTGGAACAGGAATGTCTCATAAATACAAAAACCGAATTTTAAAAAATGCCAGGTTTTATAGTTATCAGATGATTCTAAAGTGGCATAATATATTTAAAGTTTCAGATATCCAAGTAAGTTTACTTGTGCTACTGATAGTTTATCGCGTATATTCTAACTTCCGATTAATTACCGCCTGTTATTTCCCGGATGCTTACGCCCCCGAAGAACAAAATACAGCATTTCTAAAGAGAAACTGTCTAATTTTTCACGAAATTACATAGTAAATTTACTATCAATTGATATTTTCACTATATAAAGAGAACAACCAATTGTTCCATCATAAATGTAAGTTAATTTTCTCAAGACGGAAAATTTGAAGAATGTGAAGGAAGAGGCCTCATCCGGTCACTTTGCCTAAGGCTTTCTACTAAAAATTTTCAAATGCTTTATTGAAAATAAATTCAATTAATGTTTTTATACACAAAATATATATATAGTTAGACTATTAACAGAAAAAAAAATGTAAATGGTATTTATCACAGAAATCTTTATTTTCATCTTTGTAAATATTATTTTTAATAAATTATATCATGGAAAGAATACATATGTATATTTAGATAAATATCGTTTAATTTCCTTAATTTAACATATTTTCCGGTAAATGTAAAGAAATTATGTAAAACCTTCCTTTGAAAATTATTTTGAATTCAGCAATGTAATAATATCTTAATTCTTTATTAAAACAAAAAATAATATAATAACATATAAAGATGTTTTCGATTTTTAACAAGAATTATTAAAATAACTTTTTTAATTGTAGAAAAAATTTAATTATAATTAACATTAATTAAATTTTGGAATAATGTTTCTATGTGATATATAGTTAATCTAGTATTTATTATAGTAAAAAAAATATTAAACAATTATTTAAATGTAAATGTAATAAGAAATTTTATGAATTAAGAATATTCGATAAATCAGAATTTTTCGTGGTTTATTGCTATTTTATTACGATATAAATACTATTACTAATGTAACGCTATTAATGCAACATTGATTATAATATTTATAATGTTAATAAAATCTAATATATGTTAGACCACTAAAATTAAGAATTATATTTTTACTTTCATAAATATATATTATAAAGATTATTATTTGGTTACAATATTCATATATGAACAATATTAAAAATTTTGTTCATTACTTTCAATGACCCAAAGTAATAAACTAACGTAAGAAATTACATTTACAGTATTATATACGTATGTAGGCTATTTAAGGAAGGTGTATAGAACTTTGCCATTTTTTAATTAAAGTTTTTTCATTGATAACATATTGGTCGACATAAAAACAATATTTACATCTTTATGGGTTCGTTATAATAAGTAAATTGCGAAGGACATCCTTATTTCAGATCATCGATTTCCTTTTTGAAAATAAACGAAGAGATTAAACATATAAACGATATCTCTGATTATAATTTATTTGAAATAATATCAATATATTTGTTCGTGTTTATTATAACTGGAATATAATCACTATTTTAGTAATTATCAATATAAAAAATTATGATAAACTATTTAAATATGCTTTATAGAATATCAGCTTATCAGTTCAGTTAGCTTTAACGTACTTTTTTATTTTCTCGGCTGTAATATATAACAGAGGTAAAAAAATGACCCCTCAAGATTTTTACATTTTTGAATTCAGAGGACTTTTAAACGTCGAGAAATGAAAAATTAAAAAGTTGGGGCATTTTTGTTGAATTATTTTTTTAATTCTTTCAGAAATTTGCGCAATAATAGATTTATTTTTGAAAATAGTTAATTAAGATGAAGGTAATTTAAAGTGATTAAGAAATCGATGAATAAACAGAAAACAAACTGAAAAATATACAGGAATTCCCAGCTTTGAAATTTGAATTAATAATTTACTTTTTTTTTTGTTTCTTTGTACTAAAATTTTTATATGAAAGAAGGGGGAAACTATTAAATATTTCCAATTCGAATTTTATATAAAAAAATACTATATATTTTTTCTTAAGTTAGTTAAATTAATTATATTTTATAGTTAGAAACTTTAAAATTTGAAAAGACCTTACCTATACCGTACCTTGACAACCGGATTCGTTACTTCGACCGGAAGTGAGGTCGTTTTAAAAACAAACTCAATAACTTTTTTTATTAATTTATTATTACTATTTTCTTAATGGAAAACTTTCGTATTAAAATATCGTGGAGTAAAATAATCGAACATTAAAGAGCCGCAAAAAGTCGAGTGAGTTTGACAAACAGTTCATAGAAATTTTCACCTGTTGAGTCATTGCGCAACGCCATCTGCCACCAACCTCGAGTACTATGCTTGGATTACAAAATCGAATATGACATCATCAAAACCTGTTCTTATTTACTGAATGTAGATAAAAATTACGAATAAAAAATGACATTTTCATCAGGAAAGATTTGAAAATCGATTATTCCTAAAAAGTATTTTATTATATTAAATCGAAAATTAACTTATTCGTTAATATTTCGTGACATTTTCTTTAAAAACAGCAGCCGGAAAATGAAGTTATTAAAAATAGTCAAGAAAGAAATCTTTCGCAATTCTTTTTAAATAGGTTGAATTAATGACGAGTTCAAATATTCAACTGGAGCAATTTTACTCTTAACTGTTATTTAAGGTGGAGGAAAAATACTTGCGCGCCTACGCAAAATTCATTTCCGTTTTCTACATCAATGACTAACCGGTATTCTCCCTTCGACACGCACAAAACGTAGTATCTGATCTATCGGTTTACAGTATAAAATATTAATTTATCTACAGTTTTAATTAAAACTATGCCTACATCTACTTTAATATAAAAGAATAATTTAATAAATTATGACTTAGTTTTACTTGGATAAAGATACGCTTTATCATATTCGGTAAGATTTGAAAAGATAATGATAGTAATGTTTTAAGTACTGTATAGATAATTTTTATCATTTATCCGATTAAAAATGTACCAACCTTTAAAATAAGAAAATAGCTATGATTCATTTACTACAAGGACTCCCATGAATCATGTTTATGCAATCGAATCTATGTGATCTTTGCAGACAGAAGATAACTTAAATCGAGATGAATGAGTTTTTAGTGTTTCCGGTCTTGTACTATTTAAAAAAAATTATGGCAAACCGAGTAAAATTAAAGTAGAGAATAGACAAAACTTCTAGACTGAATGAACTTTGTTACTATTAAAACCGTGTAACGAGCCAATTGTATTAGTATTTTGTACTCTGACTCGTGAGTTTTGTACCTGTATTTTGTATTTAATCCGAATTATTTATAAATGATTTAAAAACTGTAATTTGCATATTTATAAGTATCATAAAAATATTTTACGTGACAATGTGATGTTGTAGTCTATATAATTGAGATTTATCAATTTAAAAAATACGATTTTAAATAANATAATGTACTTGTACAGTATTAAGAATTCAAGGGATTCGTGGGCTTTTTAAGATCGGATTCGATCCATCAATCCATTCTTATTGTTTACATAGATTCACTTATATAGGGTACTCGTGTTTTCTGCTCATAAACAAATTTTAATTGCTTTGTAAAAACTATTAAAATAAAGAGAAAGTGACAATAGAAAAAATATTAAACAATTAACCTATTTAATTTCAATATAATTCGTATATAGGCGAAAACTAAACATTTTTATTTGATATTTTCATAAATTATTTTCTCATATAAGACATGTATTTCTTCAGAAATTATACAAAATTATATTCCTTTCTATTTTAAGCTATTATCAGGTCCACATTTACTACTTTTTTCGACTAAAATCCTTCTAATAGAGTTATTTTTAACAGTTCCTTCAGTTAATCGCTTTATACAAAGTGCAGAGATACGATTGTTTATTGATTCATATTTATCTATTCGCTCCGACCTTCTGTTTCTCATATCATTCTCTGTCCTCATGACATAAGCGTAGGTCCTGTAAATTGACAGGCCAAGTGGAGCTGTCTGGATACGCTAATCTCTAACTTTAACCATCGATCACTTAAACCAACTACCAAAAACAAAATTCTGGTTCCGGATATCAAAACATTCCATTTTGAATCCATTTACCACGTTACATTTTCCCATTATTAGATTTATCTTTTTCTTTTTTTACTTAGGTCTATCGCGTGTTATAAATACAGTTTCTATAAATGTTCAAGTAGAAACGTTAGATGTGAACGTGCTTGGAACAGGAATGTCTCATAAATACAAAAACCGAATTTTAAAAAATGCCAGGTTTTATAGTTATCAGATGATTCTAAAGTGGCATAATATATTTAAAGTTTCAGATATCCAAGTAAGTTTACTTGTGCTACTGATAGTTTATCGCGTATATTCTAACTTCCGATTAATTACCGCCTGTTATTTCCCGGATGCTTACGCCCCCGAAGAACAAAATACAGCATTTCTAAAGAGAAACTGTCTAATTTTTCACGAAATTACATAGTAAATTTACTATCAATTGATATTTTCACTATATAAAGAGAACAACCAATTGTTCCATCATAAATGTAAGTTAATTTTCTCAAGACGGAAAATTTGAAGAATGTGAAGGAAGAGGCCTCATCCGGTCACTTTGCCTAAGGCTTTCTACTAAAAATTTTCAAATGCTTTATTGAAAATAAATTCAATTAATGTTTTTATACACAAAATATATATAAATTATTTTTATTATTACTTTTCAAATTTGAAAAATAATTTTGCTTATAATCTATATATATTATCAAAATTACTACTGTATATTAGTTATACCGACCTTGTGGTTTCTTGTTGGTAATGGTTGTTGTATTATCAAACCACTTAAGACGCTCTACTTGGTTTTTCTCCTTAATTAAAGTTCGATCTAAAGAGAAAAATCATAGGAAATTCCCTCAGACTGATGACACAACTAAAAATGTTATTCGATTACGAAGTTTAAAAGAAATATACATTCATTTAATATTAGATCTATCTAAACGCTATATGACATTAAAAGAAAATGATATAGGAAAAAATTCATTATTTTAAGGAAAGGAAAAGGAAAAAAATTCTTTTAAAAAAATCGAATCCGGATATCCTGGTAGAAAACATTTCCTTGCTGCTATACGTGGAGTGATTTAATATACTCTATTTATATAAAATATTTAGCTTAAAATCGTTACGAAAAGAAATAAATAAAATAAAATAATAAAAGAAACGCAGCACGGGTAATTTAAGAATAGTCGCAAAATTTTTCAACAAGTAGGCGAAGCCCGTGGGGCCAGCTAACGAAGCGAGCGTGGGACAAAGCCACTTAGTAAATCAATAATTGAATTTGAGCAAAAAACCTAGAATTTATAAATTAATCTTAGTACTATTATATATTTTTTTCTTTTACAGATTTTTATAATTTTGAAAAATTGTTTTTCGTCTATGGTATAATGAAATACAAATAAATATAAATTTTTTGAAATTCCATTACAGTATTTTGTGGAACGTGTAAGTAAAAAAATACTGTATTATGAATGAAATAAAACATTTAATTCATGAATATTCTTTTACTTCTTATCTCATACATTTATTAAATGTGAAAATGGAACTTTTATGAAATTATATTTTTTCTGTTCCACTGATGTCCAAACTTTTCGATTTGCAAGCCAAATTGTTCCTAAGGCGTAGATAGGTGGGCCACAAATATTTTGTATATTTCATATATAATAAAAGTAAGCCAATTTTTATCATTTATAAGTGATGTTTCAAATATATTTGCTGGTCTGTTTTGATCCGGGGCCTTAGTTTGGGCAGTATTGTTAAAAATCGGCGCCTTATTATTTGAAACTTATAATGTATCATATCTATTCACTAAATCATATATGAATAACACTGACTAAAACAAAACAAAATGTTTAATTTTTTTAAATAACGTTCTTTACATTCTCTGAACTTTAAATATTTTAATTTATAATATATGTATATTTTATTTTAGTTTTTTTTTTAAATTTTGTTGTAACATCTGATGATAAATAAATTAAACAACGATTAGATAAAACGGAATTTGATACTCAAGAGTTAATTAAATATTTTAAAAACATTATCTTTAATAATGTATTTGCTAACAGTTTTTATAATTTTTTTTTATTTAAAAATCGTAGAGAATCAAGATGTTATTGATAAAAAAAAATTCATTTTTTAAATAAATTAATGATATTAACCAAAAAAAAATAATTTTGTGAGACAATACACGATACAGTAGGTATTATAAAGAGCCATAATTTTGCCTATTACGAGCCAATCTAGTCCACAATGATATCAGAACGATTAATTAATTAATCAACACTAAATACTAGACTTGGTTAGTTAAAGCGGGACATGAGAGGAAGGAAGCAGTTTCGATTTGAATTACTCATAAATAATCACCAGAAACCAGATCGAATATAATCTTGAATCTCGCGAGAGTAAAAGAATCTCAAAGCTCTAAGAAATGCCGATAATGTTATTTTACGTTGTATTTATTCGTAAAAAATATTTATGCCATATTTATGAATAACGTCAATGTATGTGGGTACATTTCATAATTTGATCTCACGGAATAATTTATTTCTTAAACTTAGAATCATCTGTGTGGTAGCGTACTTCAACACATCGTCCAGTAATTTGGTTTATTGAAGAATTCGGCAAATAAATATCTCCACATAAAACTGAATACCTATTATTTACTGCGTTAGCCTAAACTGTATTATATCTAAATATTATCTTCTATTGGATATTACATAAACTACTGAATTGTTAATCTATAAAAATACGCTTGTCGTAGCAATGTTACTCATTTGTCGACCTTGCGCGATTTGTATACGGACAGAAATACAGCTGTGCATTTTTTGAATATTTAATATTGCTAAACTATTTTTAAGTCTATTTTATTGAATAAAACTACACGAACAATAAATATGATTTATTTAAATGCAATTTCATAACATACTAGGCTGCAATATGCGCATGGCAATGATAACAAGTTTACAAAGTAAAGAATAAACTAAATTTACAGTATATTAATAAGTAATGTAATAATTCAAAATGTAATCAATTTAATTTCCAGACATTAAGTCATATTCTATTCAAGAGTCAACAGCTATCGTCTAAAATTTCTTCTACCTACGCGATATTTGGACATTCCAGCTTATCTTGTTTTACTTCAAAATCCTTGTAACTTTCTTTTGGGAAGCTTTATGCCACGAAAAAGACAATTCTTCGAAAAAATAATCAGCTCAAAAACATTCTATTTCGTGTCGTTCTGCTCGCTCAGAACTTTGAATAAAATTTTGTTAAGAATAACCAACGGCTTTCGTCTTTATTTTCGAATAACTCGGAAACGTTATTGAATTTTCAATTGACTTTTCTCGTTTTTTGGCCCTTTCTGCCCTGTGTGCAATTTTTTTTTTTTGTCGTGGACCGAACCCTCGATGGGCTAACAAGCCCATCGAGGGTTTGGTCCGGCCGGGTGGTGAGGAATGGGCCACGACATATCAGGAAGGCCCAGCCCGAAAAATTTCTGGGGTTTTCGATCCGTTCGGATTTGTTTCCGGATCATCCACAATAGTAGGCTGATATCTTAACTACTTGGATAAAATCAAATAAAAGGGCAATGACCATCTTTTTTAAAATCCTGATAAAATGCGTGAAAATCTCCAATAGAGACCAGGAAGAAACTCTTTTGGCTAATTGACCAAAAGATTTAAAGAACACTCAATTTACAATTAAACTCAACGGTAGTCATTCGCAAAACTGCCACTTCGAATTCCAATACAAATTCTCTACAGTTGGCCTTCTGAGTCCCCCCCTTATATTCGGATACACACTCGCAACAAAAATGATACTCTCAGGCCACACTCACCATCATGTATAGTATAATGATGTATTTTCGCTATCCTCTGATACTTAAATGTGCACGTAATTAATGGAGAGCCCCAAAAAGTTGGACCATACTAATAGTAAATTATAAATATTAATGAATAAATATAATAAAATAAACATAACTTTCTCTAATCTTTCCGATATTCTCACAAATTGCGTGTATGCATGAGTTAGAACGAATAATAGAAAACAGAAAAATATCAATGGCATAACTAAAATTAAAAACATAAGTCAAGCTACATCTTCATCACCATTACGTATTTTATCATATTAATATTTTAGACCTAACTATAAATTTTTCCCATAAAACAATTTTTTTTTTTTAATCAGAACTTAAAAATATGCTGACTCGTAAAATCTCTAATAGTCTACATCGTCCAGGTAAACCTGATGTGCGATATACTGCTTCGACATAGCAGAAACCAAGAAAGCCTTTATAACAGACCCATCAGTTTCAGTCAGCCCCGCAATGGAACGGACTACTAAGCGATATCTAAACAGTACTAATCCAGATTCGAACCCGGGTCTCTCAAAGTAGCTTAGCTGCTTTGGCAATCCAGCAACCACCCGTTCTGAAACAAAATTTTAACTTAAGCTATTCATTAAAATTGCATAATATTGATACAAACGTTTTACAAGGTAGAATATGAGTTGCAAAATATATAAAAGTGCTTAATAATAAAAGGATTCGAAAATGTTTTTGTTTTTAAACACGTGCCCTTTAATATGTAAAAATGAAAATATTTGAAAATCGCCTACATATTTTAAGGACATGTTGAATATTTGGTTGTCATCAATGTCAAATTATTATTATATATTACAGTACGTGGACCAACTTGTCCAATATGAGTGAGCCCAATCGCATAGGAATTGGCATACATTTAAAAAATGGGGCATTACCTCTTAAGCAGAATTAATCGTGAAAAATTACGAGTGACCAGATCGTATTCGAATTGGAACCTTCACAAAACTTAAAAAGTATTGAATGCTTATATAGAGATCAGAATTATATAACAATGTCAGATTAGCGAAAAAGTAAGGATTAATTTCTCTCTCTCTAAATCATAAATTAAACTTAACTAACAATTAATTATCTTAACCAGGGATGGGCAACCTTTTCTATTTAATGTGCCACATTTAAAACTTTTAAACTAACGCGGGCCGCACACGAGAAAAAAACTAATGCTGGAAAATCACAATTATTTATTCATATATGATTATAAATAGACTTCTGGAACTGATGTGAATGCAATACATCCGGAATATTTGTTGATTACTACTTATTGCTAGCTTTAAATTAGTTTTGATGCGAGTGTTAGCCGATTTCTTGTTTTACTTTTTATTAATTCATTGCGGAAAAAATTGTTGTAGAAAATGACGATAGAATTTTTGCTGCATATTTCCTTAAGGCGAGAAATTGATATACAGTATTTATTATTTTGTGCGACGCGGGTTCCCAGCACGATTTAAACAGTTAATTATTCTAAGTGATACGTATATCATATTTATATTACAGACCATTTGTTAAAAACGCCATTTATATAAGGCTGTTTATATGCAGACTGATATCGTCAGACGGTATGTAAGAGTTAAAATTTATCATACGACCTAGTCTATTTATAGATGAGGATATTCCTATCAGGCTATTTACTGAAACATTACATTTTTTAATTAAGAATACGAAAACGAAATACAATTTTGTTCTTTATAAAAGTAAACAAACAACTATTCATGAATACTTACTTTTTATATTTTCAATATATTCATATTTATTTATTTTAATCATTAAGGCTGATAAGAATTATAACTAAACATCTTAAGAATTAGAAATACTACTACTGAAATAAAGCATCCTATTATGTCTGATTATAAATTTTTCCTTCAATTGTCTACTTTTATAAGTCTGTTTCATTAAAATCTGAACATAAAAGATGATTTGGCTTAAAGATACTGAATGTTTTTTGATACAAAAATATCATAAAACTAAAACTATCACTTAAAACTAAGTAAAATAAATGTTATTTTTCTAAAACACTGCTACTTAATTAAGAAATGATAGAAAGTATTATAAATATTGATTATTAGAAATATATTTATTTCTAATAAAATTAAGAATTATAATTTCATTGTTTTTATATTTAAACAATTTTTCCATAAAAAAAAAGAATTAATAAATTTTGTTTTCAAATTATGTACAATCAAATTCAACTATTCTATAAAAAAGTAAATTTTATTAAAACGAAAGTTTATTTTACAAATTGTAGTTTTATTAAATCCCAAGAAAAAAACAAGAAAAACTTATTTACTACAATCAGAACTACAGAATTTTATTTCAACATTATCATCAGTTATTATACAAGTTATTTCAGTGTGTCAACAAATGGCTAAATCACTAGCTTATATAGGCACCTGTTTTCATAAAATCTTCAATCTTTCAACCACTTTATTTGATACACACTCAGATGACTTGTACTTTGATAAGAATACCCAACCACCACCAGATATTGATAAATATAATTTCAAAATGGAAAAAAAATTATAAAATAAGAATTCCCAAATTAATATCCTCTGTAATTAATTATATGATAAAAAAAGCTTACTTATATAATCATTTAAAACAATATATTTGATCATTAAAGTCTGCGTAATAATTATATAATTATTTTTACATTATCTTCCAAAATAAATAAATTACTATTTTTTGCCCTATTAATATTTTTAGTATTTAGTTACTTAGTTAAAATATACTTATATAATTATTTAAAACAGTATATCTGACTATTAGTCAATATAATAATTATATAATTATTTTATATTATTTTCCAAAATAAATAAATACAATTTCTTTTACCTATTAAATTTCTCATAACTTAAAATACATACAATATAATTATTTAAATTTATATGATACATAAAAATTAGGAAGCACAATTTTTATCCGTTATCAATTTCAAAATATACCAAATTTACAAATTTAATTACATAAGTTTATTATAAGTTGGAATCACATTTTCTTAAATATACATAAGAATATAACACCATTTTGTGGCATTGACAGTGCAGTGAGAAAATAATTTTATAATTTTAAACATTATTACATTTAGCCTATTAAACAAGTTGTCATTACAATGTAAATATGGACTGATTTAAAAAAATAAAAACAATCATATTTATTTTAATTATTTATAATTAATCACATATTCTGTAATAAGACTTCAAAAAATGTCTATATAAGAATCTTTAAATACTTTTTACAATTTTATAATCATTATATTGCACTGTCGATGTATTTTTCAACAGTATATTAAATTTATCAAGAAATTGTAAACATTAAAATAATGAAAAATTGTCATAACTGCAAAAGTTAAAACCAATCTATTATAACAAAGTTAATTATTCATCTTAATTTATCTAAATTATCATCAACGTATAACATCAGCTCTTTTATCTCTTAATTTTCCACGAGTCCTTGTTCTAGCTTTGCATGCAGCTGCATTTGCAACATTCTGTTAAATATATGAATATGAATTTATGAAAAGTTAAATAACTAAATATGATCAAAGGAATTAATTTTATGTTAATAGACAGTTTACACTTACTCGTTCCATTTTACTAATTTTTGGTGTAAGCCCAGTATCTATAAGTGGTCCCAGTTCAAAAATATCACGCATCAATTCATTAACCTATAAAATGTAAAATAGCATGTAATTTTTTTCACTTTGAAATCTCACTAATAATTAAATGAAAGTTTAGCACTGAAAGGGAATATTAAAAAAAGTATATGCTTACAGAAAGATGAAGATTCATGCCGGATCCCAATAATTGACAAAAGGCATCATATTGATGTTTCCTACACCAACTATCAATATATAATGTTTCTCTTCCAAATTTTATTCTTATATCTGGAGTTTCACCATTCTATATAAAATAAAATAAAGCAAATTTTTTAAACTTACATAATTAGAGCTTAAAAATTTTAATATATTGCAGAAAAAATAACAATTTGATATAATTATTAAAATGTGAGTATGCTTAATATATCAAATTGTTAAAATAAAATCCAGTGGCACTTTATACTTTGAACTTAATTCATTCCAAGAGGTCATTTAAACTCCAAATTGTTTGAAGTCAGAATCAATTTTTCCCATTAGAAATAATGGAAAGTGAATCCACTCAGAACCTGAACAAACCCATTTTGATGAACTTAAATCATCAAATATACATAATTTAAGGTAAAAATAGCACTACTAACTGCCCTAATAATAAACTTAAATATAACAACTTACCTCTAAAAGCCAATATCGGTGCATTTTCTCCAAAAAAATACAATATCACAAACGTTTTCGAACATAAAGTTCTTCCTCAGGTGAGAAACGTATTGTATTTTTTTTTTTTGGGAGAAAACGCACCGATATTGGTTTTTAGAGGTTAGTTGTTATATATAGTGGTGTGCTGTTTATGTTTTAAACTTAAATATGAAAACCATAAGTAAAATACATAAATACTGTATAATAAAATGGAAATTGCATTTATTGGTTGCACTGTTGACTTCTACATCTTAACCTAGATGTGCCATTTAATTATAACATTTGTGAAATTTAACATAGTAATAGACAATGTGAGATTGTATTCTTTGTTTAGAAGCTTATTTTAAACTCATTACTTCACATTTGTTTAAATAAAATCAGGTCTTCAGATAATTATTATTAGCTGAATCTTTTTTAAACTACTTGTTTTCTTCATACAATACTGGTATTAAAACCATTCACAAATTACAATAATTATTGTTACAATTATTATAGTCAACAGATTAACATATATAACCTCATTAATGCACTTTTAACAGTGGTGAAATTTAACCATTGTTAAAGATATTAATTACACTAAGTAACCAAACAGCTAGATCATTCTTATTCTAACATATAAGGTAAAGGCACTGTTGAGGTTCAGAGACCAATTGTGGATCAGAATGATTTAAGTCATAATTTTTTCAGTTAGCAAACATATCAAACAGATACAAGTAACTTTTAACTCTTTAAAGCTCCTGTTCACATTATAGCTGAATTGCATGAAAGTGAACTCATTTTATGAAGTTGATTTTGATTTAGCAAAATCTGAAAATTAAGGAAAGTTCATTTTAAAATTATAGTAATAAGTATAATATTTAGAATTTAAGTAAGTATAATAGTGTAAGATATAATTTATCAAAAAAATAACAAACTTCATATTCTGTCCTTTGATTATGTTTCTGAGACAATTTTTCTCACTCATGTTTGCTTCTTGTGATACAGTGGCAACATGAATGCTTAGTTTTAATGACTAAACAAAACAGGTAAGAAATTTTCTTTCTCTCTCTTTTTTTTAATGGCAGAGTTAGTTACAGCAAGGAAGCTCTTAAAATGGCTGTAAATACAGTTATGAATGGTGGTCATAGTATTAGGGAAACTAAATGAACATATGGTGTATTCTTCAATACAAGGAGAGTTAATGGTTTCATAGATAGAAACCACATTATATTTAAGTACAAACTATTTATACTGTTCTTAGACCATGTACAGTTGAGTATTAGCCAAAACCGTAAATTGTACAAAGAGACCCACAATTGGTTCCTGGGGTTCAATTAATTGTAGATAAAATGTCATAGTCCATATAAACAAAGTAAAAATGAATGAAATAATTTTTATTACGCTGAAAAGGTATAATGACAATTATGAGAGTCTGATAAAGAAATAAATGCAAAAATAGTTATTACTTAGCTAATATACATGCTGATATATAGATTTATGCTTAGGCTGATCCGAAACTGGTGTCTTTATCTTATAATATATGTATTCAAAGTGCTGACATTCAAAGTAAAATAACTGAACATCTTACCAATATTGTAGACAATAATTCAATTATTATCTTTTATATACAATTTTTACTTTACCTCTTTATAATATTAGTATAGATATAGATTAATGTTTGTAAGTATGTATGTAAGTTTGTTTGCAGCAGGTAATCTCCAAAACTACTCATCCAATTTCAAAAATTCTTTCACCAATATTTAGAATGGAACCTCAGGGTGGACATAGGCTGTATATTATTCCATTAAACATTCATATAAATTAAAATATATAATCTAGGTTAAGGCTTTTATGTCCAACAGATGGGGCTACAAGTACAGTGCCCTAAGTTTGCTTTTCTGTGAGGCATTATGCCTTTCTTTGAAAATGAACTAAACCAGATCATCATCTATCTATCTATATAAATAAAAATATAATGTTTGTTTGTTCCTACCGACTCCTTTGAAATTTTGACACAACGCTGCATTCGAATATGCATGTGTTTTTATATAATATACGTGTCAAAATTCCCACCACTGAAGGGAGATGGTTAGGATTAAGGCTTACCGTGAAGAACTTGGCTTCTATTATATTATTTTAGATGCGGGTTTTTGCGTTTTTGATCGCGTTTTAATAGGGTACGTCAAGAGAATGCACACCAAGAAGAAATTTTTCGAAAAATTTCCCCCCACGGGGGAAGTGTTATACATTTATAGTAGATACATTTTGAGCCACAACAACGCGTGGCGGGGTCTGCTAGTATATAATAAATTAACAACTAAAAAAATAATTTATAAAAATGTTGTTTGTATAACAGAAATATATTAAATATTTTTTGAGAAAGATATATGAAATACCTTATTTATGCTATTTATTAGTTTAAGGTGTGTTTCAAATTTATACGGACACAAAAAAATTAAAGTGAAACACAAATTTGCTGCATTAAGTGACAACACTACAAAATAAGAATTTTAATCAAACATTAATATTTTGTCACTGAAAATAATATTTTTGAAAATCTTATACAAAAAAACAGTTACATATTTATCCGGACAGGCACTCATTTTATGACTTAAACAGAATATTGTTTAGTTTCAAGCATTGAAATATGCAAATTAGCTTACATATCTAATTGTAATACAAATTCTTTACGTTGTTCAACGTTCTAAAATGGGTAGAACAAAAAATTTATCTGATTATGAAAAAGGGAAGATTGATGCCTATAAATCACAAGGCAAGTCAATAAGAGAAATTGCAGCATATATAAATCGTCCAAAATCAACTGTTGGTGATTATTTATCAAAAAGACGTGGCAAGGATGTACCAAAATTCAAGACAGGTCCAAAACCCAAGCTTACTCCTCGAGATTGTAGACAAATCATCAAGGTTTGCTCCACAAAACAAACATCAGTAAGAAAAATAAAACAAGAATTAGACTTGCCTTGTAGCAGCACAACAGTGTGGAGAGTTTTAAATAAATCTCCAATGTTAAAATTCAGAAAAAAAGCTGTAATGCCACCACTTTCATTAAAGCACAAAAGTGACAGACTTGATTGGGCACAAAAACACATGACATGGTCCGAAGAATGGATTGAAGTTTTGTTCAGTGATGAAAAAAAATTCAACTTAGATGGTCCAGACGGTTGGAAGTATTATTGGCACGATTTAAGAACCGAAAAACAAATATTTTCAAAACGCCAAATGGGTGGGGGATCAATAATGGTGTGGGGTGCGTTTGGATTCAACGGAACCACAGATTTAGCATTTATAACTCAAAGAATGAATTCAAAGAAGTATCAAGGCATGCTTGAAGATCATTTATTGGAAGCTGGACCAAATATTTGTGGACCAAATTGGATCTTTCAACAAGACAATGCCCCTGTGCATGCCTCTAAATCAACAAAAATGTGGTTTAAACGTAAAAATATTAATCTGATGACATGGCCTGCTAGAAGCCCTGACCTGAATCCGATGGAAAATCTTTGGGGGATGATGGTTCGTACAGTTTATGCCAATGGAAAGCAGTTTTCCACAATTCATGATTTGAAGGCAGCAATTTCAGATGCTTGGGATAAACTTAAGATTGAATTCCTTCAGAATCTAATTGAAACAATGCCTAATCGAGTATTTAATGTAATTAAGTTAAATGGTGGTTACATTGGCCATTAAATTGTAAGAAAACTTTGCAATTTGAAACCTGTCTGGATAAATATGTAACAGTTTTTTTGTATAAGAGTTTCATAAACATTATTTTCATTGACAAAATGTTAATGTTTGATTAAAATTCTTATTTTGCAATGTGGAAACATGTAAATCCATGTTATTTTTAATAAAACATTTGTCATTTAATGCAGCAAATTTGGATTTCACTTTAATTTTTTCGTGTCCATATAAATTTGAAACACACCTTATTTTGATGTAAGTCCTAACGGATTATCTGCCTGATAATGAACAGATTCAATATACCTAATTCATAAATATCTTATTTAAGATGTGAATTAAAATAAATAATATTTATATTTACTTTACAAGAGAAAAAACTATGAACTAATTGAACAGAACAATAGCAAATTCAGACGTTTTAGTGAGACTTGCTGAAATAAATCTTTAGCAAAAATCTGCAGAACCAGGCCATCTAAAATAAAACCAATATTTGTTTTTTTTTTGTAGTATGTGCTGTATTGGATGGAGTCATTAAAAATTTGTAAAGGGTGTATCAAAGTAGAAACATTTATTAAAAAAAACTGGTGCTTAAAAAAATTTTTTTAATGTTGTTTTAGATACATTTTGTTGTTTATCACAATTATATTTTTCTGTAAGAATTTTAATCCAATAAATTTTTGTAAAACTCGGAGTAATTTGTTATATAAAAAAATAAACTTTATAAATATTGTATCATACACATAATTAAAAAAATATTCACATATATAAGTCAGCAGTTATTTAACTTCATTGTTACAATGAAATTAAATAACTGCTGACTACCATACTAACAACACAAAAATAAAAAAGATTTTGCACAATTTATTGTTGCAAGCATCTTAAATAACTCAACAGTTCATTATTTCTAGCCATATACAGTAGAATTCTGTGTTGTACGAGTCACTTAGATTTTACAAATACGCGAACCATTCACAGCCTGGCACTTGTGCAGTTTAGGGGGTATGGCTGTTTTCTTCCATAAAATTAATCGATTCTATACTAATTTGACTTAAACATTTCCAAAACATGTATAATTTTTTCAGAATAATCCATACAAACTATGCTATAAACAAAAAATTGTAGGAATACTTAATAAGTGTGCACCGTTTGAAGACGCCATTGCTTAAGCTTGTTTTTGTCATGGAGTGACTTATCGGATGACCGTCATGTGTTTCCTGATAAGTTATTCCTTCTGTGAAAAATTTGCTGAACTTTGGAGACATCATTAATAGAAATATAATTTTTATGGCCATTGAATAATAAATGTTTTTTAGTAGGTCCGCTGCTCATTTAAACTCAACGGTTTGTGCAATGTCCACTATTGGTCCAGATTCAACCAATCCTGTCGAGACACGAGTCAGCCGTGACAATCTGTCTCGTTCTTTTACCATGTCATACAAGCCTCTTTTAGCGTGTTATATGAACATGATCACAATTTTTCTACCCTGTTATACGAATCCGTCTTATATGAACCTGTGTTATAGGGGGTCTACTGTACATACATGTTAAATTCAATTAAATAATCCCTCAATTTAAGAAACTTTAGATTTAATTTAGAACAAAAATTTCTGTCTATTAAAAGACAAATTTTTGCTCTAAAGGAAATAACTATATAACTTCTCTATTTGCAACAGAGCACATTAAAAGAGATTGGGTTAATACATCAATGACTATAAATTACTCAATGTACATTATAACAATATTTGAGTACATTAATAACAAATTTATATGTACAAAATGTATGTTTTTAAAATACAATCAATACAATAAACTTTTGGCACAGTGGACACCATCTTCCCCCATTAAATCAAGGGTTTACTGAATATAGAATTTACAGATTATTATTATCCATAATTGTATCTAAAATCATCACTTGCTCTTTATTATATAGATCATTTCTGGGAATTAATAAAATTATCTGGTAATTTTTTAAGTGCTATAATTAGGCACTATAATTAAGTGCTATAATTATGCTTAAATAGGCATATCATTTAAAATTATTCCTTGCTCTTTATTATATAGATCATTTCTGGGAATTAATAAAATTATCTGGTAATTTTTTAAGTGCTATAATTAAATAGGCATATCATTTAAAATTATTCTCCATTAATTTAAAAAATTTCTCTCAAACTGGAAGTTAAATTTATTTAAATTATCAATGTGTGAAAGTAAATACTACTTTATGATTTTGACATTAAAATTAATTCTAGTATTTTATATTTAGTAAATTTAAATAATACCTCAACTGCTTTCAATATATCTCGAAAACTGGAACGTTGCTGTCTACGGTCCTTTTTAGCCCTAGATTTATGACAGTCTGTAGCTAAATCATGAAGCTTATTACACAAATCAGTTATATTTTCACCTTCATAATCCTAAAAAGAAAAATAATGAAGATATTTTAAAAAATATCAATTGACTATTAATCAAATAAAATTTATGCATTTTATCTTTTTACAGTGAAGTGTATTGTTGTGTTTCTAAAATCATCATATCAAACTAATGAAATCATTTCCTGGAGGCAGTGGAACTATCTAAAGGAGTACTAAGAGACAAGTAAGCAGCAAAGCTGTAAGAATTATTAAAATAAATTTTAATATCACTTTAAAGGTATATTTACTCATTTTTCAGCATAATCATGGCAGAACTGCAAAGGTTTGACCTACAAAGACTAAAGCACAAGCTCTAATATTGTATCAGTTAGACTATAAAACTTGTGACATGCAGCAGGTAGTTTTAATTTTACACTGAAATGATGATTTTAAAACAATTCCAAGCATTTTATTAGCCTCATTTGCAAAATTATTTTTAATGTGTTAATTAAGCTGAGACTTACATATTGGTACAATAAGCTTTTCAATCATTTTGTAATAATTGATAAGAATTCAGTTGTTTAGTAATATTATCATTGATTATATTATTACAGCTTTTGAATTACTTCTTTGAATACAGTAGTCATTATACCATTGGAAATAGTTAGAATGCAAACACTTAAAAAGAAAAATTAAATGGTGATTGAGCTAATAAAGCATTACAATATAAACTATAGTTAAACAAGTTTCCATTTATTGAAAATTCATGATTAACAAATTTAAATTGATTAAGTTTCTTATTTTGGGCTACTTCATATGGGAAACTCATCACTTCTAATTGTTATGTAATTGTGGGAAAAAAATTAATTACTCACTTATTATAGTTGATTATAGTAGTATTTGTTCATATAATATATAAACAATGTCTAATATTTACTTTTTGAAGCAAAAAATTTATTCACTTTGCTTGATGTAGATTCCGCAAACTCCACTACCTTTTGCAGTTAAGCAGGAAGAGTGGAACACGACACCATAAACAGAGTAATAACTTTTAACCCCAGGCACTAGAGACATGCAATTTGTTTTGTTTGAAAAAAATAAATGCATGCACATTCATAAACACTGCAAATTAATTGTATCTTTTTAATTTTTTTAAATGTTTGCTTTTTCTTGATAATTTAACATTGAAAAATTATTTTAAATTTGTATCATGTATTAAATTTAACAATCATTAAGAGTGATATGTTTGTGATAAAAAAACAAATCAATTCTATCCTGATTGTGTTTCAAATTAATAAATTGTGATTGTGATATATCTCGCTTAAAGCAAAATATTACAATTTATTAATTTACAAAATAATTAACACAAATAGTGGACTTTAAAAGATGCAACCTTAGAACAGGTAATGTATGTTCAGGTTCAACACAAATCTACAAAATACAGGACAATTCTGTGTTCCAACAAAATTTATTAGGATGATGGGACACAACCTCAAAATAAGGGACATGTATGAACCTTACCCATAATATAGGAAAAATTTTGACAGCTTACCTAAAACAGAAGTATTAAATTAATATTAAAAATGAGCAATTATTTATTGTGACATCATCACAACACCGGGCTGCAAATTTTTATCATGTTTTTAATTTCATTTGAAATATATGCTCTCCACCTCAAATTAGTGGTGGCTTGCACTTATACATCATGCTTTTCCTTTAACAATAGAGCAGTACCATCTAACATCTTTCAGGGTAAAAGTTTTGAATTAAGTAACATGACTTTCAGTTTGCATCGAAAGTTCGTATATAGTTAATCGGGGCTCCTGCCCCTAAGGTTTCTATATCTGGTCTCAGATTTCATCTAACTCCATTCCCAAGATTATGGAAAAAGTAGACAGACAGTTTATAAGTCTACAATTTTTTCAAATTGCAGCCCAATAACTATTATTTTTTTACATATATAACGGAAACTACAATATTGAAACTCTGAATTATCTACTACAAGATGTAATATTACATTAGATTTTAAGTAAATTAGTTTACCTTTAAATACAGAAATTGCATTACTATTTATTATTTATGAAACTTTAAATGCACAGTGTTTCAAGTACCCAAACTTTAGTGAATATTTTTAATAAAGACTAATATTACAAGACATATTCTTTTATTCCAGATATGCTGCTGTTTTTTCTTCTGAAAACTCAAGAACCTCAGAAATACATTCATAGACCCTAGGGGTCTCCAGAACACAGCTGAGAAACATTNATAACTTAAAATACATACAATATAATTATTTAAATTTATATGATACATAAAAATTAGGAAGCACAATTTTTATCCGTTATCAATTTCAAAATATACCAAATTTACAAATTTAATTACATAAGTTTATTATAAGTTGGAATCACATTTTCTTAAATATACATAAGAATATAACACCATTTTGTGGCATTGACAGTGCAGTGAGAAAATAATTTTATAATTTTAAACATTATTACATTTAGCCTATTAAACAAGTTGTCATTACAATGTAAATATGGACTGATTTAAAAAAATAAAAACAATCATATTTATTTTAATTATTTATAATTAATCACATATTCTGTAATAAGACTTCAAAAAATGTCTATATAAGAATCTTTAAATACTTTTTACAATTTTATAATCATTATATTGCACTGTCGATGTATTTTTCAACAGTATATTAAATTTATCAAGAAATTGTAAACATTAAAATAATGAAAAATTGTCATAACTGCAAAAGTTAAAACCAATCTATTATAACAAAGTTAATTATTCATCTTAATTTATCTAAATTATCATCAACGTATAACATCAGCTCTTTTATCTCTTAATTTTCCACGAGTCCTTGTTCTAGCTTTGCATGCAGCTGCATTTGCAACATTCTGTTAAATATATGAATATGAATTTATGAAAAGTTAAATAACTAAATATGATCAAAGGAATTAATTTTATGTTAATAGACAGTTTACACTTACTCGTTCCATTTTACTAATTTTTGGTGTAAGCCCAGTATCTATAAGTGGTCCCAGTTCAAAAATATCACGCATCAATTCATTAACCTATAAAATGTAAAATAGCATGTAATTTTTTTCACTTTGAAATCTCACTAATAATTAAATGAAAGTTTAGCACTGAAAGGGAATATTAAAAAAAGTATATGCTTACAGAAAGATGAAGATTCATGCCGGATCCCAATAATTGACAAAAGGCATCATATTGATGTTTCCTACACCAACTATCAATATATAATGTTTCTCTTCCAAATTTTATTCTTATATCTGGAGTTTCACCATTCTATATAAAATAAAATAAAGCAAATTTTTTAAACTTACATAATTAGAGCTTAAAAATTTTAATATATTGCAGAAAAAATAACAATTTGATATAATTATTAAAATGTGAGTATGCTTAATATATCAAATTGTTAAAATAAAATCCAGTGGCACTTTATACTTTGAACTTAATTCATTCCAAGAGGTCATTTAAACTCCAAATTGTTTGAAGTCAGAATCAATTTTTCCCATTAGAAATAATGGAAAGTGAATCCACTCAGAACCTGAACAAACCCATTTTGATGAACTTAAATCATCAAATATACATAATTTAAGGTAAAAATAGCACTACTAACTGCCCTAATAATAAACTTAAATATAACAACTTACCTCTAAAAGCCAATATCGGTGCATTTTCTCCAAAAAAATACAATATCACAAACGTTTTCGAACATAAAGTTCTTCCTCAGGTGAGAAACGTATTGTATTTTTTTTTTTTTTTGGAGAAAACGCACCGATATTGGTTTTTAGAGGTTAGTTGTTATATATAGTGGTGTGCTGTTTATGTTTTAAACTTAAATATGAAAACCATAAGTAAAATACATAAATACTGTATAATAAAATGGAAATTGCATTTATTGGTTGCACTGTTGACTTCTACATCTTAACCTAGATGTGCCATTTAATTATAACATTTGTGAAATTTAACATAGTAATAGACAATGTGAGATTGTATTCTTTGTTTAGAAGCTTATTTTAAACTCATTACTTCACATTTGTTTAAATAAAATCAGGTCTTCAGATAATTATTATTAGCTGAATCTTTTTTAAACTACTTGTTTTCTTCATACAATACTGGTATTAAAACCATTCACAAATTACAATAATTATTGTTACAATTATTATAGTCAACAGATTAACATATATAACCTCATTAATGCACTTTTAACAGTGGTGAAATTTAACCATTGTTAAAGATATTAATTACACTAAGTAACCAAACAGCTAGATCATTCTTATTCTAACATATAAGGTAAAGGCACTGTTGAGGTTCAGAGACCAATTGTGGATCAGAATGATTTAAGTCATAATTTTTTCAGTTAGCAAACATATCAAACAGATACAAGTAACTTTTAACTCTTTAAAGCTCCTGTTCACATTATAGCTGAATTGCATGAAAGTGAACTCATTTTATGAAGTTGATTTTGATTTAGCAAAATTGAAAATTAAGGAAAGTTCATTTTAAAATTATAGTAATAAGTATAATATTTAGAATTTAAGTAAGTATAATAGTGTAAGATATAATTTATCAAAAAAATAACAAACTTCATATTCTGTCCTTTGATTATGTTTCTGAGACAATTTTTCTCACTCATGTTTGCTTCTTGTGATACAGTGGCAACATGAATGCTTAGTTTTAATGACTAAACAAAACAGGTAAGAAATTTTCTCTCTCTCTCTCTCTCTTTTTTTTTAATGGCAGATTAGTTACAGCAAGGAAGCTCTTAAAATGGCTGTAAATACAGTTATGAATGGTGGTCATAGTATTAGGGAAACTAAATGAACATATGGTGTATTCTTCAATACAAGGAGAGTTAATGGTTTCATAGATAGAAACCACATTATATTTAAGTACAAACTATTTATACTGTTCTTAGACCATGTACAGTTGAGTATTAGCCAAAACCGTAAATTGTACAAAGAGACCCACAATTGGTTCCTGGGGTTCAATTAATTGTAGATAAAATGTCATAGTCCATATAAACA